CCACGGGGAGGCTCGGCAAGGACGGCCTCCGAGCCCGCGGGTTTGTCCGCCCAAGCCGCGGCAAGCACGAGAGCGAGGGCGCCAGGCTGTCCCGCGACATCCCGAGCGTGGTCACCGCCAAGCGCCCGCTCGAGGGCGTCATGCACTGCCTGGAGTGCCGGTTCAAGCGGGGGCGCGATCACGGCCGCGAGGTCAGGAGACCATCCTGGCACGGCTGCGCTATGTGCTGGCCTTCGAGCAGGACAAACAGCTCCACCTGCAGAAGGTCGGCCACAAGGGCTACAACGCCGAGGTCCACGCGAGGGTGACCAAGCGCCTGAAGACCTTCCAGATCACCCAGACGTTTCGACATTGGGCGGAAGGGGGGGTAAGGGGGGGGGGGTTGGCTCCGACCCTCTGCTCAGTGCGACTGTTTGCGACAGTGCGTCCGACGAGGGGAGGCCCCCCTGCCTGAAACAGGCGCCCAAAACAGCCAAGCTCTACTCCACGGGGCGGGGGGGGGGGGGGAGGGGGAGGGGGAAGGTGGGGGGGCCCGCGCCGGTCGGCACAAGAATGGATAATAACAATGATCACCTGATTTACGACGCGATCCCAGGGGCGCTCCAGCGCCTCCCAGGACGCCCCCCCCCCCCCGGCCCTGGGCCTCCTTCCCACGGGCGGGGCCCGCCCGCGGGGCCTGCGCGGGCGGAGCGCCCCCGCCCCCGCGTCCCCCGTCCCGAAGAGAGAGAGCGCTGGCAGCGCAGTGCGCGTCGGAAGCGAGCCCGCACGCTCGGACTCCTCCTCCTCCTCGTCCTCCTCCTCCTCCTCCTCCTCTCCTCCTCCTCCTCTCCTCCTCCTCCTCCTCTTTCTCCTCCTCCTCCCCCCCCTCCTCCCCCTTCCCCTCCCCCTCCTCCTCCTCCTCCCCCTCCTCCTCCTCCTCCTCCTCCTCCTCCTCTTTCTCCTCCTCCTCCTGCTCCTCCTCCTCATCATCAAGCCTTCCGAAGGGAGGGAGCCAGCGATCCATATTAGATATCCCCTGGGTGCCCTGGACACAACACATGGTTCCAGCTCGGGGCCACCATGTTCGATCTCCACCTGGGTGGCCTGGACACGTGACAACACCTGGCTTCAGCTCGGGGCCACCATGTTAGATGCCCAACAGTTACGCTGCGTACGCGCCCCCAGGGCCACGGTCCCTGACACGCTAAGAACGTGAACTGGACCGGAAGCGTGTCAGCACGATGTTCCCGCATCGATCGCGGGCAAACGACGCGCGCCAGGAGCACCCTGCTTTCTCGCAGAGAGCTCAGCTGTAATATCGCTTGCGCCCGGAAGCGTGCAGGAAGCCAGCCTGAATGCTCGAAATGAGCTACTTGCAAAATGTAAATGAAGCGATGCGAACCAGAAGCGAGCCAGGAAACTTACATCAGAAAATGCACCGAATGGGTTTTTCGCTGACAAGGTTGGCAGCGCGCCACCCAAGACTGATCCGGCACGCTCTCGGAACGAGCTTGGTTGCAACGGCGCTGTTGGCCAGCACGCTCCGGCTGGGCGGTGAACGACGCTGGAACCGCAAAGCGCGCGAGGAGCAGCGCAGCACGCTCGGAGCGAACTTTCTTGCAGCCAAACTGGCAACATGAACTGCACCAGAGGAGGGCCGACAGGCTCCAACCACCCCCTGGGCTGCCCTGGGGCAGAATCACCTGCGCCCTCCCCCCCCGAAGGAAAACGGGACAACTTGAAAGACTCTGGAAGGGCGGGGAACAGCCTGGGCCGCTCACCCCCACCAGCGACAGGGAAACAATTACACAGAGGTGTCAATGACAGACCCCAAGGGCCCCTTCGACCGACCCTCGATAAAACAAAACAAGCACAAACCCCGCTGCCCTCCTCCGCCGCCCCCTCATAAGGAGGAGGAGGAGGAGGAGGAGGAGGAGGAGGAGGAGGAGGAGGAGGAGGAGGAGGAGGAGGAGAAGGAGGAGGAGGAGGAAGAGGAGGAAGAGGAGAAAGAGGAGGAGGAGGAGGAGGAGGGAGAGGAAGAGGAAGAGGAAAGACAACCCCCACTGCTCCTTCTCCGCCGCTGGCCGCTTCCCGCTCGCGCCCCAGGCTTCGTCCTCGCCGTCGGCCTCCGCCGCCGGCGACGCTGGCCGCTTCCCGCTCGCGCCCCAGCAGCCCCAGGACTCGTCCTCGCTCTCGCCGTCGGCCTCCGCCGCCGCCGCAGCCACCGGCGGCGGTGGCGTCCGCGGCGCGCCGCCGTGCCGCTGCGGGCCGCCCGGCCCCGTCAGCACCGCGGTTGCTGCAACGAAGCCGCGCGGTGGCTCTGGCGGGCCGCTGTGCGGCGGCCTCGGCGCCGCCCTCACCGCTGGCGCCGCTGGCCGCTTCCCCCTCGTGCCCCAGCAGCCCCAGGACTCGTCCTCGCTCTCGCCGTCGGCCTCCGCCGCCGCCGCAGACACCGGCAGCGGCGGCGTCCGCGGCGCGGCGCTGTGCCGCCGAGGCGGGCCGGCGGTCTCCTGCGCGCCGGCGAGCACCGCGGCTGGCGGGGGCCCGCGCGGCTGCTGCGGCGCGGCCTCTGCGAGGCGGGGATCTGCCCACATCCACCGCCTGGGAACCGACGTCGTGGTGCCCCAGCGGGCGGCGGATCTGGATGGACTAGGGGTGGTGGGGGGGGGGGAATTTTGGAACCCCGCGTGACCCCTCCCACGTCTTCGAGGACGGGGGAGGGGGGGGGAACGGGTTGGAAACTCCGAGTGACACCCCCGGTTTCATATTCTTTGGCCCCTGGGGGCCCGAGTATGCCCAGATCCACCGCCAACCGAAGTCGCCGAGGTCCCCGAATATTGATCCTCCAGGCGGTGGTCATGTACCCAGACATGCGACGTCTTGACTTTTCCAAGACGGCGTCCCTGGAAGTCCCGACCCTCTCCCCCGGACCAGCTATTCTTCCCGAGTCCTTTTTCGACGGTCGCGAGGCCCGGCGAGGGCCCCCTAAGGGCCGAAAATATTCAATTACGCTACCGAGGGAGCCCACATACCTGGTTTAAGTCGCGTGTGTTCGCAGACCCTCGCCGCCCATCTGAACCATTGCAGTCTTCATCGCCAAACATGGAGGTGGCAGCGCACCCACGGCAATTTTGGGGGGCATGGCTGCCGCGCAGGTCGGGCGGTGCTCTGAAGTAGGACTACAAGAGCGCGCCTGCGTGAGACGCAGGCGCGCCGAGCCGGCTTGAGCCAAGGTGTTTACAAATCTTGACAAGACACAAGTTCCCACCCCCAGCGCACCCCGCGTGGCGTCGAGGAAATGCCACGCCTGCCACGCCCCGGGGGCCTGCAGCGCATAGGGCCCCCACCCCCAGCGCATCCCCTGTGGCGGCGAGGAAATGCCACGCCTGCCACGCCCTGTGTGATATATATATATATATATATATATATATATATTAGCAAGAATGTGAGTTATAGGGTGAGGTTTAGAATTATCTATGTTATTACTCTCGCTCGCTCATGCTTGCACTCTCTTGTTCACTGTTGCCATTTGTGGCTTGAACCCGCCCAGCTGAGGCGGGAGGGTGGGCGCACCTATCGAACGCAGAGTTTGATTCGGTATAATATATCATATCATCTGCCTGTCTTCTTCTTGCGTCAAGAGGTTGTGGGTGGAGAGATTTGGATCATCATTTACACTGGTAGCGTGAGCTGAATCAGTCCACGGTACGAGGATTACATACAGAGTGGCCCTGCAGACATATATGTTGGCGCTCAATTGCATCCTCGCGGTGCTTAACCACTGCGCTCATCAACAGATCACGGTGATCGACAAAACGCTCAAAATCATTACCTACAACAGCTTGGAAGGATATCGAGATATCAACAACATCCCGGGCGAACAGCATAATTAAAGCAACGATCTAGACAGCTACTACACCGGTAACAAGCTCAGTAGCATCACAGTCATCAAGATGACGTCCAGGCAGCAGCAGCGGTTCAATGACGGCCCCCTCTTCGTGGACAAAGAGGGCGTGGTACACTGCAACGGCGACCCATCCTACGGAGAGGAGTTCGAGGGGCGTGCGATACTCGGCTACCACGCGAGCGAGGAGAAGATCAAGAAGCTCTACGCGATCAAGCTCAAGAATTCTCTGAATGGACGAGCGTGGACACTCACGCGAGAGAAGGTTGAGATCAGTACGCAAGCAGTTTTGGACGAAGCAGGTAATGACCCACTTGCTGCAGTCAAACTAGTGGTAGCTACAGTGCGACAAGCGTGCGAAAGGATCGCACCACTACAGAAGCAGCAAGCGTTCGAGGAGTATTTCTTCCGAGGTTTTCGCAATCGAACGGAGTCTGTGCAGAACTACATATCGAGACGAGAGACGGAGTACGAGCGGCTCAAGTCACTTTCAACGAACACGACAGTCAGCGAGGACCTACGGACATACTTTCTACTGAAACTAGCGAACATCAGCATGCAAGAGCACAAGGCAATCCTTGGCCAATTCAACAACGAATACATCTGTGACGACGTGACGGCAGCCACGCTGATACAGCTGGACAGCACAGGCCGAGATGATCGTGGACATGGACAATGCGGAGCCTACCCGGTGGACTACGACGACGAAGAAGAATCTGCTCTACTCGGAGACGACTGTGCACCGTGCGACGGGGGCGCGTTCCTGAGTGATGCGGGCTACGACGCACTTGCAGCGGACATCAACGAGTTCGAGGGAGTGATTGATGACGTAGACCCGGACGAGATCAGCCAGGAGGAGTGCGACACCCTGGCGACGGAGGCTCAACGTCTTGGCTGGGAAGCTGGACGGCGCAACCACAAGCCCAACTACAAGCAGGCCCGGGAGCGGCTTGCTCACAGCAAGTCGAAAAGAGGCTGGAAGGCCAACATCAACAAGAAGGGCTCCATCAAGATGGACAGCAAAGAGGCTGAGGATAAGCTGAAGCAGATCAAGGCGCGCACGAAGTGCAACGCGCGCCACAAGAAGGGTCACTGGAAGGGTGACCCCGAGTGCGAAAAGACAAGGTCACCAGCGAGTGGATCCAGTCCGCTACAACGTGGAGGACGAGGAGGCGGACGTGGGGGACGAAGCTTTCACGGACGACCTGGAGGTTTTCTACGACGAGCTGGATTCGCAATGGCGACCGCGGTCAAGCTGCTGATGGCGGACAGCTCGATGGACATGACCGCCATACAGATTGTCAACGACCAGCTGGCAAGCATGAGCGTGGCGATGGAGGAGATCACGAGTCTGACGAAGGTTAAAATCGACACCGACGAGCAGATCGTGAACACACCTATGCGGTATCAGCAGCAGGAGACCAGCCGAACTTCCAAGAGAGGGCCGACCAGGCACCCGAACCAAAACCAGTTCCTGGAGAGCATCAAACACAAGAATCTGACGAACCCCTGAGCACCCCAGTGAGCTCAACGAGCAGACCTACACCAGAAGCATGGTCGAGGACGGATCCCAGCAGACCAAGTACAGACTACCTAGAAGATGACAACACAGAGACCGACCTACAAGTGCAGAGCAGATCGCAGCGTTATGGGTAAGCTGCGAGAACATGGAAGCGGCCTACAGGGACTGTATGGGTTTCTGTTTGGACTGGGCCTTACATCGCTTCCAGCAGCTCATGCACATCACCATGGAGATGGCACCGAACGGTCTCAGGAATATGGCCTACGATCTATGCCACGCAGCCTGGGGCAGGACCTCGGGGCTTCGTGACATCGTAAGGAGTACTTGCGAGCGCCTACCGATTGGAGCACGACCGACATGGTTGTGAACGCAGCGTCGAGCTGGAACCAACTACGCTCCAGAGGGAATTGGGCGGCGGCAACCTTGCGAGGAGCTGGAGAAAATCGAGGCCTACGCCGTACGAGAAGGACCTATTCCAGGTGGACATGCTGTACTGGAGGACACTGCGTGCCTACGTGGATGTGGAGGTTCAATATCACTGGACGGTTACACAGAGGACAGCAGAGTCACCACGCGGATGAGAGGATCATCCATGCGCTTCCGAGGCGTGAATGACAGCGCCCCGGTTATGGCAGAAGGAGAACAAGAGGTGACGGCTGGACTTGCTGGAGCTGACGTGAACCTACGCTCCCAGAGGTTGCCGAAGTCAAAAACGCCAATATTGCTGAGCATCCACCAGCTGGAGGAGCTCGACACAGTGATATACATCAAGGATCAGAAGGCGGACTTCAAGGCGATCAACAAGTACGGAGTGCCTCTCAAAAAGACGGAGAAGGGACACCTGACGATCTCGCTCAAGGAGTGGCCGAAGAAGGAGACGACAAAGATCGAGCCATCAGTCACGTCCAACGAGATCGGCATCGGGAATGCGAAGGTCCAGGAAATCGATAAGGGCATCCTGCGGCGGAAGCAGAGGAAGCAGATCGAGACGTGGGAGAAGGAAATTCAGGACAAGCTGGACAAGTGCCAGCAGATCGTGTACACGCTGAAGGCGGACCCAGAGGAGAAGCGGCCCATCATCTGCGAGCTCTACGCAGGTGGCATGGCAGCCACATCAGAAGCTCAGCAGCGGCGGCATCCAGTGACGAGGCCGAGGGACATCCTGATCGGGGACGGCCTGCTGGACGCGAAGTCGCAGAAGACCGTCCTGAAGCAGCTGAACGAGGATGACCCCTACGTGACCATTGTGGGTTTCCCCTGCAACCCGTTCAGGAACATATCCCACATGTTCCCGAAGGACGCAAAGATGCGCAACTTGGCGATCGGCATGAAGCACATGCAGTTTGTCAAGAAGATCTGGCTCAACTGCAAGCGCCGAGGAACTCATGCGCTGCTGGAAAACCCGTTGACATCACGAGCATGGCAGCTAATGCCATGGCTTGGCTCAGAGTTCGTGAGCGCGATGATGCACCAGTGCGCCGAGGGCAGCAACCTGGGACTTCATGTGCGATCCAGTCAAGAAGCCGACGAGGTTCCTGACAACGGCCATTATGCTCGGCAAGAAGCTCAACAGTATCAGGTGTGACGAGCAGCACGTACACACAAGCGTGATCATTAGGCCGAAGGGAACAGCATCGAGCCTTGGGAACTGGACCAAGGAGCTGGCGAGCTGGCCAAGACTATCTTGGACGGCATCGAGGATCAGCGGGACCTCGAGAAGCAGCATGGTGGCCACGCCCGGTACGCCAACAATTTCGACGACACCGGCTGTGACGAGTTCGAGGCCAACCCTGCGGAGACAGAGGCGCCGATGCACGCTAGCGCGGCGGCGATCTTCAGCAAACATGGCGAGAACATCGGGATGTCGGAATGGACGGCGGTGCCACCACGCATGCGAGCAGCTATCAAGAATATGCACGAGAGCCATTCACATGGACCCTACAAGGAGTCACTGGTACGGTATCTACAGCACGGTGGAGCTAGTCGACGAGCGGTACAAGCAGCACGTCTCTTCAGATGCACGACATGCGAAGAGCAGGCTCGGACGGCAGCGAGACCTACGGCAGCTCAGCCTAAGGTTAAGGACTTTAACGAA